CAACCAGTATGTTCTTGACTGCACACCCACGCTCCCCAACAGGAGATAAAGCTGTGACCACCAGTAATAGTAAGGCTGGTCCTGACAAGAGAGGATGAAAAGGCTTTGACTGGGGCTCTGTGAAACAACCCAGTGGGTTCTCCTCAGGACACACTCCTCACCCTCTTCCCGAATCATGACCAGCTGCACATCTCTTCATGGACCCGGCAGGTTGATGGCTGAGGAAGCAATTCTACTTAGGCACAGAAGAAACACAACTCCCTCCAACCCCCTATTATACAAACAAAGAAGTCTGGTTTGTTAGGACTCAGGATTTTAACAGCGAAGACTATTCACAAACTGACTCAAGTAACAAAAGGAATTTATTAGTTCATGTAACTGCTAAGTCCAGAGGAAAAAGAGCTTCAAGAAAGACTGGATCCACGAGCTCAAGGTATATAATTAGAACCTGCCTGTTTCTCTCTCCCCCCATCTCTCCACTGTGTTGTTGCCATTTGAGGTCAGGATCTTCCCACACAGCAGCAAAGACTGCCACCAGCAATGCCTGCCTTACAACCTATCCTCTCAACAAGGCCAAAATCGCCTCTTAGCAAATCAACTTGGCTGCATACCTTCTGTGACCCAATCACAATGATCAAGAAATAGAACAAGCTGACTATCCAGGCCTGTATCACCTGCCCCGCTCTGGAGCCCAGGTAGGCAATGATAGAGTCAGTCCCACCAAATCACACGGAACAGGAAGGAAGAACCACCCATCCAAAAAGATTGGGATAGTGTCCACCCCAGGGAGAAAAAGAATCCTGGTGGCCACGGCAGACAGGCTCTAAACTGACCCCCAGTGATCTCTGCCTCTTGGAAGGCCCATCCATGTGTAGACCCCTCCTACACTAAATCAGGGTTCAAATGTGTGACAACAGGAAACAGGGAAACTGATAGGGTCTCATTCCCAAGATTAGGTTGTGAAAGACTGTGTCTTCCATGCGGTGTATTCTCTTACTCTTAGGTTACTCACTCCCCAGGAAACCAGCTGCTATGCTGTGCGCAGCCCTACTTTAGAGGCCCACGTGGCAGCGAAGAGAGGCCTCTTACCAAGAGCCACACGAGTGAGTTGAAAGTGGACCCTCCAGGGGCACCTGGGTGGCTCAATCGGTTGACCATCTGACTCTTGATTTCGGCTTGGGTCATGATCTCAGGGTCATGGAACTGAGCCCTGCATCAGGCTCCATGCTCAGCGGGGAGTCTGCTTGGGATTTTCTCCCTCTCCCTGTTCCCTTCTTGTGCACACATGTGCTCTCTCTCAAATACATAAATCTTTAAAAAAAAAAAATTGACCCTCCAGTCCCTACCAAGCTGTCAGGTGACTGCAGCCTCATGATAAACTCTGATCGAGAACCACCCAGCTGATCCATTCCCAGATTCCAAACCCCCAAGAATTGTGAAGATCATGAACATTTGTTTTAAACTGCCAAGTTCTGAAATAATGTTTTGCACATTAAAAGCTAACCAATAGGGACGCCTGGGTGGCTCAGTCATTAAGCGTCTGCCTTCGGCTCAGGTCATGACCCCAGGGTCCTGGGATTGAGCCCCACATCGGGCTCCCTGCTCAGCGGGAAGCCTGCTTCTCCCTCTCCCACCACCCCCGCTTGTGTTCCCTCTCTCGCTGTCTGTCAAATAAAATCTTTATAAAGAAAAAAAAAGAGCTAAATGAGCAAAAACAAAAAACATGCCAGCAATAATCCAACAACCCTGGTCACTTGCTTCTTTCAAAGGTAGTTTGCATGTAAGAGTCTGCTTCCTGAGAACCCCTGTCTCATAGCTTCAGTTTGCTTAATTCCGTAGGAAATAGGGCAATCTTTTAGCCATGAGACTCACACTCTGAACTGCTCCAGACTAAAATATCCCCACCTTAGGATCGAGCAGCTGCTCGGGGCCACAAAAGCAATGGGCTGGTTATAGGACTTTGTTCTTGGTTGAGCCATGACTGCACCCCATGACTGCACCAAAGGAAAGGCATGAATTTTGAGCAAAAAGGTACATGAGAAAATGCTGAATTTGTTCGGGGGGGTGGGGGGCAGGGGAGGGTTCAGTTTTACGACAACACTCAAATCCAGTAAAACACACATACACACTAACACAGTCTGAGTATTCCAATCCTTACAGCAAAAATAACTTCACTTTTTAGGGTCTGAAATAGCCTAACATTTAATTCTTTCTGCACCATTGCCATTAAAATTTAGGTTTTGATTAGATAAGGGTTCTTAGTAATATAATTATTATACTAAAGAAAAAGGATAATGACCATTAACATTTATTGAGCACTTACGAAGCACATTTACTGAGCCGACACACACTCCCATTTTATCCTGCAACAACGGTGAGGTCCAGGGTTTTCTTATCCTCATCTTACAGCTAAGGGAACGAAGGAGTCATTTGCTCAGGCTCACACAACTAAGCAGTAGCGAAGCCATGACTGGACCCCCCCAGTCTGATGGTAGCATCTGTGCCACCAACCACTAGGCTGAACCACCTGCACTGTGACACCTGCCACAGAACACAAGTGGACGTGAGAACAGAACAGCCGGGGCACACACCTGGGCCTCGCCTCTGGCCTGTGACCCTTCCTGGGCCCCGTCATCAACAGCACCCCAGGCTCCCAAGCAACAACTGTCCACGCAGGTCCACCATCTGGCAGCACTGACCGCGCTCCTTCCATGGCCAGGAGCAAGAAGAAAGTTCCAACAACTGGCACAGGAACTCTCTGGAACAGGTCAGCAGTTGGCCCGTATCAAAACGTACACCTCCAGCTGCTTCATTTGCTTCCTTCCTGTGTTCTCCTGCTCAAGTACGTGCCCCTTCACAGATGTTCCTTCTACCTGCAGACTGCAAACCTTCAGGCACCTTCCACTCTTAGCTACCCACGGGAACGTTCCAATGGGGACACTTCAGATTATAAACGGTGCTTAAGAAATTAATTTTTTCTATTGCATTCATGGGCTAAACTTCTCCTCAGAATTATCATATACTAAAACACACTTCCTATAAAATACACTTCACTGCTTCTAACCAGAGCGTCATGTCCTTTCAAATACAGCTCTCATTTTGTCCTTTCTGGTGCAGAAGATCATCTATTTCCTCAACGAAGAAACACACGCTTGCTCACGTTCAGCCATCACCCAGAAACACAACCTGCAAGCAACGGAGCGGGGACTCAAGGCTAAGCAGCCTCCTAACCCAATCCCAAAGTGACGAAGAACAGCAGTCTGTGACTCAGAACCAGAGGGTCTGCGCACTTCAGCCTTTATCGTAAGCACACAATTCTACCCCAGAGCTGTGGCATGCCAGGCTGAACGGTGGCCCAGTAGAGAAAATGCCGGGGACTGTACTTACTGTCACTCAACTGTCTGATGTTCTTGAGAGGGCACTTCAAAGTACGAAGAAAGCAGATAAGTTCTCATTAAAACTAGATGTGGGATCACCGGGCCAACGTTTGACTACGTATACGTAACAATTCCAGTAGTTCCACACACATTCCACTGGGGAGCACCAGGACAGTAACGCTGTGAACACGGGAGCTCGGGACCCCCCTGCAGATCCACAGGACTGCAGCTCCTGGGTTTGTTTTGTTTTTTGTTTGGGGGGTTTTTTAGAGATTTATTTTTTAGAGAGGGGCAGAGGGAGAGAACCTCAAGCAGGTTCCCGACTGAGTGCGGGGCCCAACACAGGCCTCCATCTCATGACCCAGAGATCATGACCAGGGCCAAAACCAAGAGACAGCCGCTTAACTGACTGAGCCACCCAGGCGCCCCTCCTGGTCTTATTTTAAAGTAGCTTTAAAGAACCACCAATAAATTGCTTATCCTACCTTAAAACAGGAAAAAACTCGAACTCAAATGTCCAATAAGTGGAAATTATTTTCATGTGGTTCATTTGCTCAATGAAATGCCACATCCGAGCACGTAAAAGCCATTAACATGAAATCTAAGTGCTTCAGAGAAGCAGACTAAGAAATGACAGGCTATAGATTTTAAGTGCAGTATGTAAAAATGTTTGCGTGTGAAGAAATTCAGGAAAGTCCACATTTTTTATGGGACTTGAGATTGTGAGTTTTCTTTAATAAGATACAAACTAAATCACAGGAAAGAAATAAAATGGCTCTTTATTAAGAACAGGCTTAACTGTATGCATCATTAGGAAGACGCAGATGAAAACCATTTTGCCAGGGCCACTTTTCGCCTGTGAGGTTATCAGGGACCCAGACGTGGGGCCCGACCCCTGTGGTCACGGCTGGACAGAAGCAGGTCTTCTCACCCGCTGCTGCGGGATGCATGTTAGTGCAGCCTCTAAGGTTGGGGGGCGGGGGTAACAGGCAAAGGGAACGGGCAGAGGAGGTGTTGACCTCTATCCACCTTCGAAAACTACTGCACTTGGACCCAGCAATTCTACTTCCAGGAGTTTTTCCAACAAATTCAGGAGAACAAAGCGATGAACACAAAGGTTATGCACTGTGGCATCATTACAAACAACATCCTCAGCAGATCATCACAAACCACCTCCGACGCCTGGCTGGGGGCACCCTGGTCATCGAACCAACACTGGTGTGGATGCAAGCGATCACAATTAGAAAGAGGGCGGCCCCACATACCCCGGTAGAGAACCATCTCTACGATGCCAAGTGAGGGGGGTGTGGAATACACGACTGTTTCTCACGGAGGTGGAAGGAAGGCAGGAGCAGGAGGTGAAGGAGCATCTCTGGACCGGCTAGCACTGCCCGCCTCCAGGAGCATGGCATCGTTTACCGCGTGCACCTTTTGTATTTCGAGCCATATGCATACATATTATGCAGTAATTATCCAGTAAGTTAAATTAAAATTTCAAATGCATAGATTTCCACTGGTCTTTGTTGTTTAATTGTAAGCACCGGTGAAGGGTGTGCTTGGGGTTTGCACAAAGCCCCCGCGCCCCCCCCACGCCTGCTTGTCGTGCCCCCTGCTCCCCCCTACCTTGCCAGCGCCTGGATCTTCAGGACGTGCCGCTCCTCCTGCTCGGCCACCTTCTTTTTCAAGGTGTCGACCTCCTGCCGCAGGGCCGCTGAGTGCTCCATCTCCCCGTCCAGCAGGTTCCGCAAAGACCTGGGCAGAGGGGCCATGTGTTCACGCACCGCCCGCGGAGCCCACCGTGCCACAACACAGGGATTTATCGAAGTCCTCATCCCTTCATTTTCCATGAGGGTCTGCATCAACCCTCATTCCAGTCTATCTCAGGTAAGGGCATTCAGAGACACCCACGTCTGCTCAAGAGCCTCTGAGTAAGAACCAGGATGTGGCCCAGGCTCTGTGCCCCCCACAGCCCAAGTAGCGCTAATGATGGGTAAACAAGGAGTTCAGAGACCCCGAGGCAAGCCCTTTCAAAGCATCCCACCATAAGGGGCAGCACATGAAAGGAGACCATTTTGTCACAGCCGCACTGGAGAAGAGACTGAACCAGGGCAGGGATGGCAGGATAGGCCACCTGGGTCCTGTGAGCAGTAACAGTGGAATATGGACAGAGGCCTTCTCTCATTTCCCATTCTACCCACAAAACACACCGGCCTCCTGCCCCGGCGTCTCCGGGTGGCACAAGCAGACGTGGTATTTTATAGCCTTATCTGGTTTCACACGGCAGGGATCCTGTTCTGTGTCATTCTTGGGAGTTAACCCTCCAAAGTACATCCACTGGTCACCCTTGGTCTTAAAAGCAGACAAGATGGCAGATCTTCCAGAAAGAACCACTAGTTGCCACCAAGAAGTGAGCCAAACATAGTTCTGACTTACCGTTGACTTCACTGGACCTCAAACGGTTTGTTCTGGAGATCATTTACTGACTCTGGGGCACCTACACCCCTAATCTAGTGTACACATGCCAGGTGACATCAGGATAGAGGAAGAAGTGTGACTGTGAACTTGGCAAACCTCCCCCCGGCCCCGGCCCCCTATCACTCACTCAACTCGGAGGCCCACGTTCCTTTAGAGCTTTGAAAAACTCCCTTCTTGGGGCCTGGAACCCCCTGACACAAACATGGTGCGATCTGCTTAGGAGAAATTGACAGTGACTGCTGTTCTTCACAAGGTGAGACAGAACCTACGGCTTCTGCCAAAGAGAACAGCTCCAGCTGGTGCAAGGAAAAAGAATCTGTGATGGCTATAAGCCCTTCATTTAAAGTTTATTTTAGTTGGAAATTTGTGCTGTCTCAAGATTCCTTTTTCAAAAAATTATCTTTTGTTTTAAAAATCAGGCTTGTTTGCTTTTCTGTGTTTCCATAAAGGATGAGGAAGAAGCTTGTCAAGCAGGGCCCAAAATAAGGTTTAAAAAGGACAGTCATGATTGCCTGTCACCATGGACACTTAATTCCTGCTCAGAGAAAAATAAGAGAGCCACGTGAACACACACACACACACACACACACACACAGGCACATGTACGCACGTCCCCTAACCCCCAGGGAGGCAGGACAGTCGGGCTCACGGAAGCCTAGCCTACAACCGCAGGCAAGGCCCTCCACCAACCGCCCCAGCCAGTCGAGCAGCTCACATTCAAGGCAGCCAGACGGGTGCAGCATAGCTAACGCAGGGCAGGTATCCACCAAGGGATACCCAAGACGAATAAAGTCCTTCACCGGCTCGCTTTCTGCCACTGGGCTTCTTCTGAACAAGTCAAAAAGAAGCCAAATACCATCTTGCCCTAGGTATCCCTGATTTGAGAAAACTAAGTATTTGAGTGCTTGGAATATGGTAAGAAAAGCCCTCAAATAAAAGGTTACTCCAAAGACTGCTTTGGGGTGGGGGGGGGGGGTGGTCAGAGGAAGACCGCTAACAGGTATGGGGGGTGGTCTCTGCGAGGTGGTGAAAACATTCTAGAAGTGGGCCCTGGTGATGGCTGCACATGTCTGCCAACACTGAACCGTACCCTTGAAATGGGTCAATTATATAATGTGTGAATTGTATCTCAAAGTCCCTTTTTAAAAAAAGATGTTTGAGAATATTGCTTTACCAAATTCTTAGTGTGTTCTAAGGTAGAGCCATGATTGGAGGGTTTTCAATCCCTGCCAATGCTCAAGTGGTACATCCCACACAAGAAGAGATCATTGGTCACAATCCTGTCAAAGCAAAATTTCCTTCATCTGTGAGACTCTCCGTCCCAGAGCTGTAACGTCCAAGAGACAACTCCTCAAGCCTGAAAAGTCAGGATACCTGTTCTCTTCTTCCAGCTCGTCCTTCCTGTTCATCATGGCCACAATGGCTTGTCGCAGTTCACCTAAGGGAAGAAAGCACAGTCGAGATTAATTGGCAGATCCCGCCTGTTTGACCGTCCCCTCACCGAGCTGGATTATGTGCTATTTAGGGCAAGCTGTCTAGACAAGTTCCCTTTTTCCCTTTCAAAATTAATTTCCGTGCAGTCTCCAAGACCCAGTGGGCGCAGCTCATCACTTAAGAGCCACACGAAATGGGAGTGCCGGGCAGAGTGAGGAGTGTGGAGGGTTTCTTTAGGCAACACACTCCACTGCTACGGAAAAAAAGACTGCTTTGCAGCTTCTACGCGCTTTTCCAAGCCCCTGCTACTGGACAACATCTGCTCTGAACAATGATCTGCTCCCAGTTACAGCTGTTTATCAAGAGATGAGCAAGCCAATCAAGTGGCATTTGGCTCCAGGTGGACACAGAAATACTTACCCAAGTTTCCTAAGAGACGTGCTTTTCCTACCCGGACTTCTATCGTTAGCATACAGGTGACACTGGAAAGGGGTGGGGCCTCTCCTATACGCAGGCCCTCTTTACTTACAGGAGCTACTCTTTTGGGTATCTTCCACTTGGGAAAACATTCAGTGATAGAAAGCCACTCTTTTAAATAAGCATCCAACTTCCCTATCTTCATCAAACTTAACTGTTTTCACAATCTATCCACCTATTAAAAACATTTACCGTATCACTCAGATCTCAAGACCCAGAACTTCTGGATTTCTTCAGGAGAGCCAGTTTTGTTCTCCCCTGCCCATCAACAAACCCTGTGAAATTCTGTTTCCCTCTCGGGATTGGCTGCTAGAAAGCTCACAGCCAAATGACCCACCCAGTGAGCGCATGGGGCCACATGGCAACCACGACAGGCTGTTTTATGGGCGTGCACATGAGCTCAAGGAGATTAAATGCTGGCAGCGCTAGCATTTGAATCCAAATCTCCCAATTTTCAACTCTGCATTGGACCTCAGGAAACAGTAACAGCTACTGGTCACATGCAAAGATGGAGGAACTTGGATTTCACAGACGCCTCACAGAGACATTAATGCATCTTACAAAGGAAGAGCACACCCTGACAGGTGAAGTCACACAACCTCACACCTCTCATGTCAGAGCCAGGATCTAAACTGAGTTCTCGGACTCCCAGGTGACACTGCCATGAAGACCCACGGCCCTGACAGAAGGCAGGAGGGCCGGGAAAGAGACCCAGGTCACACGTGTGCTAGATTCAGAAACAAGGCATGTCCAGGTCACGAGGCCACAACCAGGACCGTGGGGGTGCAGTTCCCGGCACATGTTCCAAGACCAGAATCATACAGGATTTTTTTTTTTTTTTTAAGATTTTATTTATTTGACAGAGAGACAGCGAGAGAGGAAACACAATCGGGGGAGTGGGAGAGGGAGAAGCAGGCTTCCCGCCGAGCAGGGAGCCCAATGCGGGGCTCGATCCCAGGACCCTGAGATCATGACCTAAGCTGAAGGCAGATGCTTAACAACTGAGCCACCCAGGTGCCCCAGTCACACAGGATCCTTGCACCCTTGCTCAATGTTTGAAAATTCAGTAGAAAAAAAATTCAGTAGAAAAAAAATGGGCAGAAAAGCATTCCCACAAAAGATGCTAGAAAAGGAAAGAGCCAGGTTGGGGGCAAGGACCAAGAAGGATGGAAGGAAGGTTAAGCAGAGCTCACAGTGCTGATGAGACAACGGGGACCAAGCTGCCCTGCACCCCGGGAGAGACAGGAACCAGAGCACGAAGCAGGTACAGCCGCCAAGTGTGTACCTGCCTCAGCCGGGCTCGGTAGGTGTCTGCAGAGTATCCTACTGGGTCCAATGTACCTTCCCAACAAGACAGCCAGGCTCCCAAATTAAGGAAGGAAAGTCTTTAAAGGAGGATTTCTTGAGCAGACAATACACATTCACAGATGCCTATTATGAAACAGGATCTAGAGGACTTTGCCTTCTGAACTTGACCAGGTAAGCAGGGTCCTGGCTCTTGGGCTCATACCAGTGTCTCAGCCTCTCTGAGCCTTTCCCTCGGATCCAAGAGGCAAAAAGAGCACCCAGCTTCCCAACTCCGAAAGGGGATGGGAAGGTACTGTGGTAAAGCACTGCCTCTTACATCCTGCAGCAAATAACTTACAAGAACTCAGCATGTACAACTTTAACTGGAAAATGTGAGGGGGGAGGGGGAGCCATACACAAACAACCCATTCATTTCTTCCAGGACACCACAGCCATGGGGAGGAGGGGCGGGGGGGGGTGCGGAGGACAGGATAAGATCTAGTTGGCCTTTCTCTTCAAGAAGCCCAGCACAGGGATGCCTGGGTGGCTCAGTTGGTTAAGCATCTGCCTTCGACTCAGGTCATCTCAGGGTCCTGGGATCGAGTCCCATATCGGGCTCCCAGCTCAGCAGGGAGTCTGCTTCTCCCTCTACCTCTCCCCCCTGCTTGCGCTTTCTGTCGCTCTCTCTCAAATGAATAAATACAATCTTAAAAAAAAGAGAGAGAGAGAGAGGGGCCCAGTACCAGTGGCCGGCAGCCATGGACTGTGGACACAAACCCGGAAATCGCTCCTGCCCTCCAAGGACTGCTTGCTTCCCAAGTTTTCCTACAAAACCACCTTCCCACTAGGGTTCTCTACTGGTCTAAACTTCTTACAGGGACAGAAGAAAAGGTACGCATTTGCAGTGAGTTGCCAGGAGGCTGGAAGAGGTGAGACTTTTTTTCTTCAACAGACTATTTTTTAAAGCAGTATCGAAGGTACAGAGGTTTTCCGCACACCCCCTGCCCCCACACAGGCACAGCCTCCCCCACCATCACCATCCCTACCACAGCGGGACATTTGTTATGACTGAGGAGCCTACACTGATGCACTGGAACCACCCAAAGTTACCATCACGGTTGGCTCTTGGCATTGTACACTCTAGGAGTTCGGAACATTGTACTGACCTGTGACCACCATTACAGAATCACACAACACAGTCCTGCTGCCCCTCAAGTCCCCGGTGCTCCACCTGTTCATCCTCCCTCCCCCAACCCCTAGCGCAACCCCCTCTGAATAGGAGAAACTACACTCCATCTGCAAGCCTTCTGTGTGGGGGCAGGACAGCACACACATGACTGATTCACACCAGTGACCCACTGGCACTGGACCTAAGCATCAGGAGAGCTCTGCAGAGCGCATGTGCACAGCAGGGCACCCCCCCCCACACACACACACCACCACCACCAGGGCGCTCAGCACGGGGTGCCCTGGACTGCTCAGTTCCCCCCTGCCCCCCGCTCTGCCAAGCCTCTGCGGGAGGGAGCACGTCACCACCCACACACATGAGCCTTATGACACGCTTGCAGCCCCTTTGCCTGGCCTCAACTGCAGAGACTGCAGCCTCTGAACAGAGGCCTTCCTGAGAGACTCTCTGGAATGATTTATAACTGCACTATCTTGACCCTATATACACGAATTGTCGGGTTTCATGGTCAGAGTTTGTCTTTTCTCACATTCATGCCCAACTTCCAGTCTGATAAAACCCTACTCCTTTATTCAGGCCCAGATGAAAAGGCACATCGTCTAGGAAGCCCTCCGGGATTTCCCCACCCATCAAACAAGTTGCAGAATGTGCAATAATTAACCACTTGTCTCTTACAATTAGCTTACAACTCCTTAAAGACGCACAAAACGTTATGCACCTTGGGTCCCCAAAAGTCCACCACGTTGGGTGCTTGGTTAAGGTTCATGACAATGGGTGATCTAGACTATTCTTACCCAACTACAGTACCATGGAAACTAACAACAGGAGTAAAGCTGCTATGTGATGACCACTTTCTATGTGCAAACTATCAGCACCTGACACGTCGTTTTACTTTTCACAACCACATAATGCGGACGCTCAGTACAGAGCAGAAACCCACACTGGGATAAGGCCATAGGGTCTGAAGTCACTTTCCACACCCTAAGTCCAAGAATTATGGAAAAGGCCTTTGGCAGGACCAAGAGCTGGAACAAAGTCGCCTTAGTGGGGAGCCAGGTGGGGCAAGGTGGTCAGGTGCGGGTTCCAGCAGCTTCCACTCCGAAGACAGGGGCAGGATCCATAAAGAGCTGCTATCAACAGGCTCCTGGGCTAGGCAGACCCAACTTCAAACCCCAGCTCAGCCACTGGGGTTTGAAGGTACCAGGCCTGGTACCCTCAAATGGGCTTCCACCTTTGCAAAAATACAAAGGGGTGATGATGCCACATTCCCTGCAGAAGGATTCAGGAGTAAAATTGAGTTCCCAGCCTGGCAGATACACGGCAGCAAATGCAGAGAAGTGGTTCAGGGTCCTGAATTTTAAAACAGAGTCCCAGGTTCAAATTCCGACCTGCAGCTGGGTAACTCCAGGCAAGTTACCCACCCTCTCTGCGCCATCAACTCCCTTATCTACAAAACTGGGATCTCAATAGTCGCTAAGTTCATACAGTGTCATAAGGATTCAATATGTAATATGTCAATGGGGTGCGCAGAGCATACCCAGCACATAGTAAACACTCAACATGTTACCTATCACTATAAGTAGTGGCTTCTCCTTCAACAGCAGGGGACGGCAAGATGGGGACGAGGCAGCCATGACTACCCAAGTAGGACTTGGTTCAATCGAGCACCAGGAGTCAGGAGACTTTACGGAGTTCCTGTGTACCTCAACCTTGGGAAATAAAAGGGTTTTTTTTAAGTTTTCTAAGCCCTAGAGCAGCAGACTAGATAATAGAATTTTCTGAAGTGTCCGACAAGATCACCATGGGCAACATGGGAAATCAGACTCAAAGAATGAGGTGTCACTTGGAAGAGACGGTGTGTCTGGGTTTGGGGGGCATGGCATGAAGGGATCCCAGATACTGCCCCTCAGACTTTGCAGCTAAAAACTGTGTATTCCATGGGGAAAAGACAACCTGGAGGAGGCAGTAGTCCCCAGAAAGTCCCAGAAAACACGAATGCTCTTCCAGCAAAGAGCCACAGTAGCTGGAATGAGCGAGCTCAGCCACAGGCTCGT